TAAAACGGAAAACTCAGTGAGGCGTTTGGAGTAAACACAGGAGTCAGATAAGGGTGCTTATTATCACCCACGATGACATTCCTAATTGTGGTGGACTGGATTATACGTCAGACAGTGGGAAACGAGCAGACAGGGATATCCTGGACCGACATGAAGAACCTAGAAGACCTAGAAGCAGCTGGCAAAGATAGGACTCCAGGTGAACATAGACAAGACGGAGGTGACGAAAATAACCAATCAACAACAACAACAGCAGCAGCAACATCCAGCGCGACTGACAATCAACAGGTGGGATTTGAAAGAGGTTACTTCATTCACTTATCTAGGGGACATTGTCTCAAATACAGGAAGTCGGAACGGACGAGGATGTCAAATCGAGCGAGAATCGGGAAGGTGGGAAAAACATTCATCAACCTGAAACCAATCTGGGAATCTTCGTTAAAAGGGAAGAGGCGAGTAGGACGTCCAAGTGTGACATGGAGAAGATCGTGTGAAGAGGAGTTGAAACAGCATGGACTAACATGGTTAAAGTTGAAAAGTACAGCAAAAGACAGAAGCATGTGGAGACGTGCAGTTTAAACCCTATGTTCCACTAGGAACCCAAGGGAACAATAATAATACTACACAAAAATTCTTTTCACAGAATACTCACACTTTCTGAAGAATTTATTCAGAGTTGAGTGCATCTGAACTGTAATAAATCCAGTGACTTGACTTCATCAACACTAGAAGTGGGATACGCGAAACCAGGATCAACATATCCGCTTTTTTGTTTCTAAGTGTTTCTAAGACTTGAATGTTTTTATAAATGCTTGATATCAGTTTACACTTCAGTTCCTGGGAATTTGAAACTGTTTGATTTTCATGAAACTTTTATCCAAAATCTTCGATTACCTTTTTAGATTCTTAGCTAGAAATATTTACTCGAATCACAAGCTTACCTGAACGAAAAGACCCTTACCGTAAACTTAAAAGCCACTACTCTCCAGAACATCACTGATATGTAGGAAAGTTAGTAGTTAAATAGTCGAAATGATGCACATATCCCCTTCAAGTTCATTGAAATTGGCATTGATTCCATTTGCAATTATGTTTCCTATCATTCTCTATGTCTCATCGATTATTACAGATCAACATTTGAAAGAACTATATTTTGGCTAAATCAAAAATATAACTGTAAGGATTGAAAACAGGTGTACGATCATCAGCATTATTTAAAACAGTGTGACTGACAAATTCTGTCAGAAATATATCATATGAAAAGGAGAAGATGAATTCATTCACATAGCTGTACAATCGCATTACTATACATGGTTATTTTGAAGGCTCGGCTAATTTCTACTGTGTGTCCTGTGTCAATTAAATGTCTGGCGATTGCACTCGATAACACTTTTCTTTCTTTTTATATGAAGACTCTTAGGAATGTGCTCAGAAAATCTGGTAGATGCTGTCTTCTCAGTCCCTCCTGTGTACTTGGTTTCGCAAGTGCATGTGAATTGGTAAATGCAGTTGGAGTTGACGTCAGCAGTGTACTCATCTACTTTTGACTGGGTTAACGAGCACACAGTATAATGAATTAGGATAAGTCTGGCAGCTGGAAACGTTCTTTTTAATGCATCTGCGATTCCTTTTTGTGTTCTTGTGGATACGTCTTCCTCTTTGTACTCTAGGCAGATAAAAAATGGTTTCTTTTCAATGGTGTCAGGTTTCAGTTTACACGCTTCTGCATTTCTATACTTTAATATGAACTTTCAGGGATATCCATTCTCGATAAGGTTCTTTGCGATGACCGCGAGTTCTTCTTCAATCTTGTCTTCCGAACATATTTCTTTGGCTCTGCTGAAGAGCGTTTTTACTAGACCTCGTTTGTAATAATTTGAGTATTGACAAGTCCAAGTTTCTTTCCCGTAGACAAAATTTTGAATGGTCCCATCGTTTCTTCCTTTTATGTTGACATCTAGGAAATGGAACTGGCTGTTTCTTTCGAAGTTAGTTGTAAATTCAATGCTGGAATGAGCCGCACTGACTTTCTCAAACATTGCGGACGCGCGTTCTATATCATTTCAGACCACAAACGTGTCGTCAACATATCTGCAGTAATAGGTGATTTTTTCTATTTCTTTTTTCACTCGAGTCTGTTCAAGATGTGCGATGAATACGTCAGCAAAAACAGGACCCAGAGGTGAACCCATGGCTACCCCGTCAATCCGCCGGTACAGTTGAATGTTGAATCGGAATTGAATATTCTTTTTACATAGAAGTAGCAATTTTCGTAGCTCATTTTCTGGAAGAGGAAGCAGTTCGGACTGCTGGCATATGCTTTTTACCGTTTCTTCGATGCGTATGCTGGTAAACAGTGACCAAATATCGTATGACACGTGAAGTCTATCTGAAATACCGAGTTGATCTAATTCTTGTGAAAAATGAAAAAATCTTTGATACCGTGAGTTGCCAGCTTTTTCCGAACGGGTTCCAGCTTTTGGGCCAACCATCTGGCCAGTTTATGGCATGGTGATTTCGCCATCGATATTATAGGTCTCAATGGTACGTCACTCTTGTGAATTTGGGGTTGAACGTACATGAATGGTGCACGCGAACCCCTTGCTTTAAGGTCGTTGTAAGGGCTGTTGTTTATTAGCCTTTGTTTAAGTAGTCCGTTGAGGTGCTTGTTTACTTTATTTTCGAACGCCGTTGATGCTTCCTTTTCGACATATCGACCTTGAATCTTATTGTATCGTCGAGAATGGTTTTCATTTTATAGATGTAGTCTCGGCGGCTCATTATTGCGACACTTGAACCTTTGTCTGGTTTGAGAATGACGATGTTTTACTTGTTTTGCAGGCTTTTATTACTGTTTTGTGTTCTTTAGTAAGTAATTTTGAGAAATCTGATACTGTTCTGCAATATCGAACAATTTGGACTTGAACCAAACTCTTTTATCCTCGTCTATGGGTTTAAGGTCGGAAAGTTGACTGTGTAAATACTCAAACTGCTTTTGTGTATCGATTCTGTTGATAAACAAGTTTGTTACGTGATACTTGAATCCTGAGGGGAGAGCTTCAGTTTCACTTTTATTAAGTTTGACATCTGATAAATTGTATATGTATTTTTCCGGACACTATGGAAATTCTTCTTGTAGTTGTTCAACTACTAAAGATTTTTTATCTTCTTCTCATACGAGTTCACTGTTTGCGATTGTTAATCTTGGATGAAGTTAATGAACTTTATACGACACAACAAACTAAGGCTTTCCAGTAGACTGTCGAATTTCACTAGATTTCACCTCAAAGCGGTGATATATCTCTGAGTCAGTATGTGATTTAGTGATGCAGCGCAGGTTTTTTAAAGTTGGAGGAAGTTTGGTCGATCTGATGAGTTTCAGGAGATGGAGTGGAAAACAGCCTATCTCTAGAAACTCATCGTAGAATTTAATCTTGCAGGCTTCTCTCGCTATTCTGCAACGTAACGTCACTAATTGATTCAGTGACTTGATTGATTAACTAGGGAGACTTCGTTTCGAAAACTTCATACAACCGGTTCCCTTTATTAGTTTCAAGAGCATCTACTAGATTTTCTGAGCACATTCCTAAGAGTCTCCGTACAAAAGGAAGAAAAGTGTTATCGAGTGCAATCGCCAGACATTTATATATAATTATTTGTATGTGTGTACATGAGGTCTGTCAAGTTAAGATAATTGATCAGGTAATAAAAGAATGATCTAATATAGAAAACAGGTTAAGTAGACAGCAACTAATATACGATTCAATTAGTAAGTTGGATGACGTAATATAATTGATTAGAAATTGAGCGTTGGTCAATTCAGTAACAGTGGTAGTGGGGTGTAGAAATTCAATCGGGTGGGGGTAGGGAACAAGAAAGTTGAAAATGCAAAATATTACAACTGAAAAGATAAAATAATACTAATGAAGAGACAGAAAAAAAAAGAATAGGTAGAATTTACTTGTCGGGTAATAAGACAGATTAAGTCCATTGCAAGTGTCCTGAATGAACAAACTTCTTCTGTATGCAGACTTCAGGGCTTAGCAAGTGAATCGCTATTGCTCCTGCAGTTTGAAGAAGTCTGATTCATTCAGCTACAGGAAGACTACTTCTTACGCTGTAGACAACTTCGAAGTTTGTTTGGGGTGTAGCTTGATGTCCGGATTCTATGAGATTTTCTAAATGAAGCTGTGGGGACATGTTGGTAAGTGTTCGGTGATACGTTTGGAAAGCGAACACTTTCCAGCAGAATCGAATCGACTTGACCACTATGGTAGAGGTAGCATTAGGACACACCAATTCACTTGGCTGATTGATTTTTCTTGACAAGAATTATATCTACATTTTCATACACAAAGGAATAATGAAGATTCACACTTTGTTTCTCAATACTTCGTATATATATATATATATATATATATATATATATATATATCCGATTCTTCAAAGCCCCAGTTTATTTCATGCATATCGACATAAATACTTAGCCATTCTGATATTTGGCCGTAAATTGTCACTTTAAAGCAAAATCATGCAATACGAATCGCTCAATACCTTTTAAGCAAAAGTTGGCTTCATTGGCTTCAAATTGGCTTCATTGCAGTTAACAGTAATAGCTTCACAAAGACCATATCATCACTAACCGGTGTCTTGGGCTTAAAACAACTTTTTACCCTGCGTATAAATATATGGTGTATCTCCGTGGTTCACTGGTTGAACGCCTACCGACGACGCATGTGGTCTACTTTCAGTTCTCAGCAAGCAGATGCACCGCTGGATAATACATAATATGTTATATGAAGCTTGAGGAAAACAGCAATGGTTGGATTTGAAGTTGACACTCTCATCCGGTGGATGATAGACCATCTGCACTGAAAGTCCAAGCTCACATTTGAAGATCTATGTTCCACTAGGAACTCAAAAGAAAAAAAAGAAAGTAGACATAAGTGAACATGCTAAAATAGTTGATAAGCAGTTTTCTAGAGTTTATATGTAATTTTATGTTGTTTTGTGTAAATGTTGTAGATGAGGAAGAAGAGCTTCAGAGAGGTGAGTCCGTGGAGTTCATGAGTCATTGTTTTTTAGTTCCTGTTTCCTATGTTTTCCTCTCAGTTTCCCCTGACATTTATTCACGGATTTATTTGATTATTGTTTAGTCTTCAGAAAATATGGCCAAGGTTTCACATATCTACAATATGGACATTGATAAAATCTCGTAATTCCTGCGTCTGATGCGTTTTGCTTCCTAGAAAATTTGTGAGCCTACTGTTTTATCCAGTGTTTGAAACAGTACCCACCATGAAACTCTTCCAGCTGACATTCAAAGCAATAAAGATGACAGAACGCCGATAAAAGAACTTTGACAGTATTCAATCAACAACAGAAAGTCACGATCACAATGCCCCGGACATAAGTTTTGATTGACGTTGTGAGACACTGATTTCGTTGATAAGTTAAAACAACCAACAAATTATCATAAGGAGGGGGATACACACATTGTGATACTGCTATAAAGATAGCAATTTGAAGCTTTGGGAATATTAAACAACATTCAAAATGCAGTCTATATGATTTGTCTCTTTTCTTCCAGAGTATGTTGATCATTTGCAGTATCAAAGGAAAGGTGAGCAAATGTTTTTTTTTTAAATTATTTTCATAACAATAATGTATAATTGCTAGAACAGTTTCATTTGAGCATAATTCACAAACATTTCGACTGACAGTTTGTTAACAAAGTTTCCGACTGAGCTACACCATTCCTTAACATTCCCGACTCGCAATATTCGCATTTCCTGTCCCATTTTACGCTGATGCTTAAGACTGTATTTTCCGATCATAAATATATCTTCCTTTCTATGAAGTCACACATACTGTTTAACTATTCTTTCATGGCTTGTAATGCGTCCGTTGACCTTGACAAGAACACACACAAATATAATGAGTAGCTACTGGCTGAATAACCAGAAACAAGGTACGCATAAAGACAACACATGATTTGGCTTCATATCATCGTGACTAGTGTATACCAACCACGACAAAATGCGTCCGCTGTTCGACGCATTGCTAAATTATTCCTCAACATCACTTAGCCTATTCTAAGCCAGGGAAAAACGGAAGGCTATGTGTATGGCTGACTATCTCACTCGGTAGAAAATAAATGGCGCTGCTCCTGAGAATTCAAAGCTGAAGCGTTGCACTCGAAATACCAAAGAATAGAAAGGAAACAGAAATTTAATACTTCACTTCGTTTTTAGTAATAAAATGACCTATTCAAGAACTACGACTGTTGACCATTTTTTTTATATTAGCCAACTCGATAATGTCACTTGCAAGTCGTATTGGTAAGTTGATTTTCCGGTGAAACAAAACAATTCCTTCATTTTGAGTAATAAAATAACTGCGAACTGGATCAAAATTCAAAACAGTTTGATATATATTGGTTCACTATTATTGGAACCAAAATATTTTCAGGGATTTGACTGACTAAAAACTAGATCACTACCTGATATCAGTTACAGAACCGAAGAAAAGTATGGACTATCCATGGATCGAATTTCATTCTACTAATGGATTGGTCAAAGGGATCGGCTGCAAACCTAAAGATCCTTGATTTTATTTCAGGTGAGGTTATAGGTGAGTACTATTAAGGCGTCTCAAAAACGGCCTGAATCACGCTTGGATGAAATAATAATATGCTTTATTCCAGAACAGTACTAATGTTATACTGTGTGGTTCGCAGAATTTGGTACACAAATGCATCATTCTTTTAACGAATAATAAAAAAGCAGCTATAAACAAAATATTACATGATTGTTAATGACAGTTTTTATGTGGTATTAGTAGTGAAAGTAAGATCATAAACAAAAGGAAATTTGTAGAATAATGGTATTTTAGTTAAGATTAACAACCAGTTCTATCGAATAACATTAAAAACGATTCTATTATTAATATTACAGAATTCGTATTGACGGTTCTCAGATGGTATCCACGAGTTCCTATAGCCGATCATACGAGCATATAATACATTGTACTGACTTCTGAGATACACGGCGTGAAGAGTTGAGGATAGAGGGTATGAGTGTTGAGAGTCAGATAGTGTAAATTTCGACCACTCCTCGCGTGAGTACAGATGTCTACCAACTGATTTAGTGATATGCTGACTACGTCATCACAGGTTCTGTAACTTATGTCAGTTCCTGATCTCAATTGAAAGCAAGACATATTATAAATTCTGCGGCGTAAAGACTCAAGCAGGAACCCGTTCATAATTTCGTCGCTAAAAGTAATAGTAATACAGCCGATTTGACAGTTCAGTGGAAAAGAATGCTGCAAATTGACAGTTAACTAATTTGAAATCTTCGCATGACCCCCTCCATATCACTCCAGCACTGACGACTTACTAGCCGCTTCCCATTTTGGTTCCACTCGTGTCGTGCCATGTGATATCACTTTATGGTTTGTTTTTCTAAAAACATGACCAATCCACCTCTATTTCTTCATGCTAATTTTTCGCACAATTGGTTCCCAGAGATCCCTGTGGCTGATCTTCTCTGGCCGGTTAACTGATATTGAATATTAAGCAAAGACAGTTACTAATGAAGGTCTGTAGTTTCTTCGAAGTCCTCTTCATGATGCGCCAAGTTTCTGATCCATAAAGTAGCGATGACTTCACACTGGAGTTAAAGAAGCGGACCTTATTTTCCTTGCTGAGTGCTGTTTACCTCCATACAGACTTTAGAGAACTGAAAGCCTGTCCTGCTTTCCCGGTCATCACTTTGATATCCACATCAGTAAAGCCTGCAGTTGAAACTATGCTTCCCACGTAGATAGCTAGGTAGGTAAAGCAGGTTTCTTTTTTCAGATTTCTCTCATTTGTAATTATTTATGTCTGTTGTTGTTGCTGTTGTTGTTGGCCAGAAATCTTCATCACCTTTGTCTTCTCTATGTCCACCTGAAGTTCACTCTTTGATACTTCTTCTGCCAACTTTTTGCTTTTCACTTGCATATCTTCTAGTTCGTGAGAAATCAGATATATATTATCGGGGAAATCCATGTCCGTCGACATTTGTGCAGGTGCATTTTTCGACTGTCTCCTCATTGTCCTCCGTCTGTCACATCATCCAGTGGTCAGCCTTGTTTTAGTCCCATCTTCACTTCGAAGGATTCCATGGTTCTGTTGTTGTGGAATACTCAGCATGCAGCATTGTTGTACAACTGTTGGATGAGATGTATACTTGTTGGCTGCACCCGTAGTAGCGAAAACGTTTCCAAGTCACCTCTCAATCGGGGTCGTTGAATGCTTTTCCAAAGTCGATGAGGTTGAGGAGGAGAGCAAACTGCCACTCCAAGCTCTGTTCAACAATGATATGTAGTGCTGCGACTTCATCGATGCATGTTTTTTATCTCCTGAATCCAGGTTGTTTCCGTTGAAATTTGTCATCCAGAGCGTTTTTTGATTATATGCAGGTTGATGCGACTAAGAATTTTACTTATGGTCCACTGGAGCACACTGTCGCGCCAGTTCTTGCATTGACGGTATTCTCTTTTCTTCGGCAGTTTCAATACTTAGCCCTTCTTTCAATCAGCAAGTACCTTGTTCTCATTTCACACTTTCTTTAGTAGTGGTGCCATCCAATACGCTGGTGTGTCTGGGTCCATTTTCAATGCTTCTGCAGAAATTCCGTCTGGTCCTGCTGCTTTTTTCAGTTTTAAGCTTCGTTATACCACTCAGTACATCTGCTTTCGTCAGTGGATTGGTATCCACTGGTGGTTCTACTTTAGCTGCTGGTATTATCGCGCGCATAATAGGTGGGAGTTGATTTAGAAGTCTTTTGAAGTGTTCAGCCCAGTGTTTCTATTGCTTTACCGTTTTGGTGATTGAGCGTCCATTGTCATCCTTCTCTGTCTTTAGCTGTGTTGATCTCTCCCCGATGGTAACCCAATTGTTTAGTAGAGTGTTACGAGTTCTCCTTTGCCTGCAGCTTGTTCTACTTCACTTGCCGTAGCTTCATAATATTTTCGTGGATTTCAACTTCACCTTCAAGGTTCCTAGAACTAGATTATGATCTGAGACCACATCTGCTCCCCTTTTCGATTTTGTGTCCAGCAGGTCGAGTCTCCACTTCTTTGTCAAACATTGAGATGAAATCTATCTGGTTCGTACTGTGTCCATTAGGTGTAAGCTACGTCGTTTTGTTCATATCCTTATGCGAGAGTAGAAAGCTTACTGTCCAGTTGACAATCTGGATAATCCACATCTATCTCATCTACTTTCGCTTACGTCTCTTACAAAAAGCTAAAGCTATTGCAGTGAGATTGACTATATCGGAAGTTTGTACACAAGAAAACATTCAGACTCTTTCCATTACCAGAGGAAAACTTGGATTTAAGTTTCTTCTTCTCACCAAGTGCCGCCTCCTCCTATAATCTGTCTTGATTTTTTTCTCCTACTTTGCTTATTATTTCACCTTAACTTGAACTGGCTTGTCAATTTTTCCTGCTCAGCATTCCAAGAATCCATTATGACTAATCAACACCACTGTCTCCTATTTCACAATATTTTGTGATCGAATCCAGCCTAGTACGTTTGTCACACAAATACTATTTATTTTGTCACCTCATAATTAATCTGGTTTTCTACGTAAAAATTTTTTCGCTAGGTACGTGGCTATTACAGAAACGACAGCAAATATTATACGTTAAAACTGCAAAGACCTGGAGAGGTGGACTTATTGAGAAGAATATACTTCGTTTAGATTAATGTTTAATTCATATTTCGTACAAATCTAATTTTTTGAAGTCAATTTTCGCATTTAGACTTGACAATCAAATATAACCTTAATAGAATCTTCTTAGTGAAGCTAATGAGTTTGTGAAATTTTTCGTTCAGTATTTGTTGAATTTCAGCTGCAGCTACAGGAAGAAAGTCTAATGCACCAGGTAAATATTTTGATGTTTTAAACGGGTGATATTCAAATCCATTTCGATTTCTTGAGGACTTAGCCCCATAAATTTACTCATATATATATATATATATATATATATATATATATATATACATATAGTGGAGTCGGTAACTAATGCCATCATAAATAAATTGTCCTCTAACCTTACTTTCTAGACTCCGCCGGCCATGAGGTCTCACTGGTAGACCATTTAACTCCTTGTACAGTGTCATGTCACAAAATCGAAGACTTACAAGCGAAAATCGACAAACTGGTCCAATAAGCAGCAAAGACAGGACTCCAAGTGAACAAAGCGAAGATAGAGGTCATAAAAATAACCAAACAACCAACAACAACAGCAGCAGTAACATCCAGCCGCAATCACCATCAACGGGAGAGATTTCAAAGAGGTTACTTCATTCACTTGTCTAGGGAGTATTGTCTCAACTGCAGGAACGAAGGAACAGACGAGGATGTCAAATCGAGCGAGAATCGGGAAGGCGAGTTACACATTCATGAACCTGAAACCAATCTGGGAATCTTCGTCACTCAGCATCAACAACAAAATTCGGATTTTCAATACAAACGTCAAGTCAGTCAGTTCTTCTATACGGATCAGAAACTTTGAGGGTCACAAAGAATATTTCCAATAGCCTGTTGCAGACCTTTATCAACGACTGACTGTCTTCGGTCTATACTAAAGATCAGATGGCCGGGCCGTAAAGAATCACCAACAAGAAACTATGGCTGGAAACAAACAAAACAAAACAAGAACCAATCACCCAACAAATATGCAGGAGAAAGTGGAGATGGATTGGACACTGGCTGAGGAGGCCGCTGAGTGACATCATGCGTGTGTCAGGCAATTGCTTGAGTGGAACCAGGCCGAAAGGGAAGCAAGCGGCGAGTGGGACGTCAGTGCAAGGGTGGGTGACATGGAGGAGATCGTGTGAAGAGGAGTTGAAAGAGTATGGACTAACATGGATGCAGGCGAAAAGTACAGCAGAAGACAGAAGTGACAAGTGGAGACGTGCAGTTGAAGCCCTATGTTCCACCAGGAACCCATTAGAACAATAAATAATAATAACAGTGTCATTTGGTAGTGAGCATCTGATTGGTTTTCAGGTATTTGGTTTGCAGTGACATGGTAGGTTAATCACCAAGTGACATCAATAAGAGAATCAGTGGTTGAATGGTTCACGAAGATAAAATCTTTAACGGGTAGTCCTTGATTCTAGCGTCGGTACTTGTAGACTGATGAAAATTGTCAAACCGGGACTAAACAGTTGTCTAGTGATCGCTGGTTTTTACTTTTATGCAGGATTCATATCTCTGGCGGTACTGTAATATACATACATATGATATATATATATATATATGTGCATGTATATATACATATAAATATATAGGATTTCGGCAGAGGCTGTAGAAATATTCTAAATACGATGACCAGATATTCAACTGCTGCTTTTCTTATAGCACCAAATCCACTTTCTCTTAACCATGCAGGGTAGTGTTCGTGAATACTATTGAAATGACATATCCAGCGCCAGAAGAGCAGGCGAAGTGATAAACACATATGGAGTTAGTCATCTGAGGGATCTTATACATCACGTTATTGATAAACAGTAATGGTGGTCTTGAAAACGCTATTCTCAATGTTGGGGAAACGAGTATCTTATTCATTACGATCTTTCTTTTGAGAACTACGCCAATTTTGCCTAAGAGGCTGCAAGAATACTAGCATACGTGGTTAAGGCGAGGTGGAAGTGTGAACATAAACAACGCAGTAAGTCAGCAGCTGATCACCTTGTTTTGACAGCGTCTTTTAGAGATATCTACAGGGCGTAAATTACCTTCCCGAATTATTAGGCCTTTAACTTATCTGCATTGTTAAAACCTTAGCCGTCTATCATCGACATCCTTTATAACCACCTCCATATTTGGTTATAAGCTTCTTTCTCCCGATCATCTCCGGGTGCGCAATTCGTTGATTTGCATTCAGGTCCCATTTGAGGGTCAGAGTGAAGCGTGATATCAAATAGCGGTCTCCTGAGTGTATGTTCAGTCCACGTCTTCAGAAGAAACACTATTTTATTATTTCAATTATTATTGTGCATTTTCTAAAATAGAACGATAGGAATGCAGACGAGTAAAAACTTATATATTTTTGTTACTATCTTCCATCTGATAAACTATCAGATTTAGAAGGATTGTTAGGGAATCCTCAGGTCAGCCAGAGTAAGTTCATTTTTACTAATTCGTTAACCTACACGTGGTGTTTAGTGCTTACAGTTATTACCAGTGATTATGATGAATTTCACATACACAATTTATTGCGGTACCTGAAATGAACATTTTAATGACGTAGATGTAAGCCAGTTTTCAATATTATGCTTTTTATTGAATGTTGGTTTACAGGCATTTGATTAGTTGTGGGTATGATTGCACGCTGACATCGATTAGAGAAACACTTGTAGACATATATGCTTCTATTCCCTCCTTGCTTTTCGGAGTAGAATATAGAGTTTCAGTAGGATATGTTCATTCCTACCGATTCTGTTCTATCGCTTTCACTGAGCTCTTAACGTGCTCATAAGCTTTCATTTCCTTCCTCTATATGATCCCCCCATGTCATCCTCATGCTCATGCCGAACTCATAGGTTATCACTGGAGCCTGCCGTCTACAGTTATTCACTGCATGCCAAATATATTCGTCTTCAAAGTATTCCGTATAATTTCTGTTGAATTCTACGCTACGTTTCGCAAGTTTCCTTTCTGACCAACTGTGTGACATTCAGTATTGGATGAAGAGGGTATTTATCGGTGAATGTCAGTTGTGGGTGGGTGTTTGATGCTTTTGGACACAAAGTTTCTGTTTTCTATTCCAAGTAGTCAATAGTTCGTCCATGTATAGATGGAGTATTCGGAGACCACTAGTGGAAAATTGTGCAATTGTGTGTGTGAATGCGATGCAACTATACAGATGTTCCGGTTATCTAAACCTGTCACGGCAGGTAAATCTATAAGTACTGACATTCATGTTTAGACCCACCGACCAATAAGCTTGTGCGGTGTTGCGAAATACGTCTACGGACCCAAGGCTTTGTACAGTTTTGCAAATACAAGTAGACTGATTAGTACACATTGAAGTGGTCAAGAGCAAGATTCTGTTCTTCATCCAAGATCGGATCTACCATTTTCTGTAGAATATGATTTTCAAGCTTCTTGGGTGAACTGCTTTTTTTGAGGCAATCGAGAAAGTGTTTATTGGGAATTCCTGCCTCAGTATCACATTTGAACTCTAATTTGTTGATATTTTTCTAGGGATCGGTTGTGGCTAGCAAAGAAGTAAACTTTTATTTCTGTGTTTCTTTCTCATGTTTGCCCATGGATTGATATCAGTTAGAGAATCATTGAGTGAGATCAAAGAGTACTTGACAAAGCTTTATAGGTCCTATTTTTGACTCGTCATCAGAACGCACCCACCAGGTATCAAATCCAGGAAGTTTCACTCACAAGTCAAGCTCATAGACCATTCAACCATCGATCACAACGTCCTACTGAAAACCTAGTAAACTCAATCCTGTAGCCTGTCACTAATCACCATCAGAATTCTTATCAGGACTTTGCTTGTAGGTATTTGATTTGTTTTTTTTAGTAGGACCATGGACTGATGCCATGTTACTAGTGATACATCTTGGTAGACATCCGTTTATAGCAAAGTGTTACACTGTCAGGGTCAATAAACTATCTACTCGGTATTCGTCTTCATTATATTGACCAGTGGATCTAGTAGTCAAGTAGCTCATTTGTGAGTGAAACAAGTGAGATTTGTTATTCGCTCCATAGTGAATTTCATTGAAACGCGTGGTGCGTTTAGAAGATTGTTCTAGTCAAATTGACTACCCAAACTATTTTTCTGCAAGTTGAGTGAATTTTCCACATAATGGAGAATTTCGTTTCCAGTGTTTGATGTTAGACAGCCAAAATACGTCACTAACGTTTAGTTCATTACTGTTATGGTTGATGACAGTAAGCCACACTGGAAGTACAGAACGTGCCCATTATTTCTTTTCCTACAAGTGAAGTTATGAAAGAGGACTTATGGTACCATAAGGAGATTTGTTTATTATAAGCTGTCATGGAATGTACAACTGGCACATTTATTGGCAAGAAAACCTTTTTTTATCACATGTAGTGCAAATGTAGTCCTCATCCCATACAAAAAAATCTAATGTTATTTGAATGATCGTTTTAAAAAATGGATTTCTAACAAGTTCTATAAACACAACCATATGAATAACGCCTATGTAATGTGATTTATTGTCTGTAAACAGAAACGTGCTGTATTGAAACTCTGATATTGAAGTAGACTTATCGTTACAAAAAATATCCTATGATCCTTGAAAAAGATATACGTTTCGGTGGCGCTGAGGATAGTCAACCGCCAATGTTCCATTACTGCAAAAAGAAGATACTATTTATCTTACAAATATATATATATCTTATCAATTTACTTAATCTTGTGGAGCTATGCATATAAGTCGTTCGAATCAGGTTTTTGGTCCAAGAGTGTGCAGAAAGAAAATCATACGTGGTTGCAAAGGGGTGGAATTCAATACTAGACAAACCACCGAAAATACTCATTGAGTCATAAAGAAAATAAATGACAGTTCAGAAAAAAAATCTTTATCAATGAAATCATCTTCAGAGGCTATAGAGTGGCATTCCTTTTAACGAAAATATATATATGAAATGATTGATATAATAACTCAGAATTGGCTTCGAAACTAAAAAATAATAGCGTTAGAAATTTGAAAAGGTTAAATTTGTTATAGAGTTGGAAGAAAGGTAGTTGAGTGTGTGCGTCGGTGGCAAAGTGGTTAGGAATCTCGCCGACCATGCACATGGTCCGATGTTTGTTCCCCTGCCGACACACATCTGATATCTAAGGTAGACCTGCCTAATTTATGCTACCGATATCACATGGTGAAAATTTCACACTTGTACCGAAAATAGGGTTTGGCGTCTAGCTGAAATCAAAATAAAAAAATAAGTGTGAAGAGAGTGAGAAAATGTACCTAAAGAAAATCTGAAAGTGTTAATTGTGAGTGAATTAAGTTAAACAAACTAAAAGTATAGTTGAAAATTTAAACTTAAAAAATATAAAGTATCGAGATCTTGTCTTAGTTTCATCTTTTTCTCGATACTTCTTGAAGGATATTCACTTTCCCATGTGAACGCGTCAAAGTATATCTAGGTGATCATCGCCTGCTGCATCCGCTGTACACATCCTTCTTATTTTTGAGGATAAGGAGTGAATCAGACTCCCAATTTTTTTCTCAAAGGCACCAAAGTATGAAAATTTACGTGTTGACCATTTCATGGTTTCCTGCAGGTCGGTCTTTGAAGTGAGCCGTCAGGTCTCCTTTTCAGCCTAACATCCAACAAAATTTAATTCGGAATTCATTCCTGATTCTAAAAGTGAGCTGGATAGCATGCTGTCAGTTGTTGAACTCCCTAATTGTCATCTAAATTTTGGCATTCTCGTCACGTATGATAAAAAGTATCGTCCATGTTTTTTTCATAAATATGAAAACTATCGATAATGGTTCGTAAAATAATTTGATCAATACTTGCCAAAAAGGAGTCTGCAATTGAAGGAACCACTGATGACTCTAGTAACACTCCACTTCGTTGTCTTTCAACTTGAAAAGGGCACTGAAATTACTTCTCAATAGTGGTTCCCTTAACTAGTGGGTCGGAATAACAACATTCAGATTATTATCCTCGATGAATATGCGTATAAAGCGAATACTGTCAGAGAAACGAACATTAGCGAAGAGAGACGTAAAATCTGGAGATAGCATTTTCATCACGGATCCATTAGCACCACTTACTCATTCAATGAATTCAGTTGAAGGATAAATGCGAGCCATTCGGTTGTATCATGGTATGATAAATTTGTCAAACCCTAGATTCGATGTAGTGGCATCTTCTCTTTTTGCACCTTATGGAGACTTTACAACCGAGGAATTACAAGAGCCAAAAGTCGCATTCTCTGAAATGATTAAGACCAAATAATGGAATCGTTCTTCATCTTCTTCAGCATTTGATTACCTTCCCCTCAATTTACTCATTTTCGTCTTTCTGGTTACATTCTTTTGAAAATTTGTTTTCATCTGATATGTTGGATAACATGTTATCTACGTTGTCTTGGCGATTCATTAGTACGCTCCCAACACTTTTATCAGGACGGATAAACATCAAGTCCTTATTACTTAAAATCTCGCGTATTCGATTTCTGTGCTCAGCTGAGATTAATCGGTCGCCATTTGTTTAAGTATTCACATACTGATGAAAGCTCTTCAATACTGTAGGCTTGAATTGTTTGTCTGACACTGGAAGGTGATCATTTATCTCGTGAAGTCAATACCGCGCTCTGCACTTTTATATCCAAGTCACTTGAATTTATCGAAAATTCACAGAATTTTTTACCCGAATGGATAAGAGTTAAATGCATACTAGAATAGTTGAAAATGTATTTCTCTGGTGCTGCAGGAAAACACAAATAAGTGTCAGATGCTTTGAGAGTCAGAGTTATGTATGGAGAAAACGTATATCTTACCACTCTTTATTTGATAGCCTTGATCCTCTTATGCTTAATTATTATAATGCTGACTCCCACTCTGACCCTACCTAATTTTCGCTCAGTGTATTTTTTTGTGCATATGTATGCCAATCGTTTTCATAAATATTTTCACTTTGAACAATTTCTGGCGTTATCTAACTTGTCACATTTATTTATTTGATTCAGTATAATTTTTCAAATGTTGTCTCATCATAATTTGCACCACCTTGTTGTGTACTTTTATAATTGTCTACTAATCGTGTTATATCAATGCAACCTTTGAAATTAAAACATTGGACTATTTCATGGACTATTTTACATAGTGCAAAACCAAAAAATTACTCTTTTGTATCAATAGCACATATATATATATGTATCTGTAAACCGAATGACCTTCATAAACAATATTTACAGTGATGAATTAAAACAGCCAATAACCAATAAGGTTCCAAGGTCATAAGTAGGGGAGTGGGAAATACAAGCAGATAAATGTAATTATTACTTTTGCAAAATTACGCACATATAACAACATATCATGATGGAAATTTCCTATGAATGATTATATAAACAAAAGTTTATGTTTAATGATGTTGCTGCTGGAAAATCCAAAGTGTTCTTTGTATTTTTCACCCAAAAATATAATTTGTAAAAGTGTTGGAGGGTGTAAATTATGCGGAAAAGTTGACGCATAAAACATGCTGAAATAAGTGTTTCAGAAGGCACTTCAGTCATTTTTGGTAATATTTAGTAGTAGTTAATTCAAATGATTGAAAGAGGAGTGTGAATATTTGTGCTTTCATCTCAACAGGGAAGCTGTCGAATTATACCAACATACTTATTTCGAAATCCATTAATCCTGTGAGCGGTTATGTCTTGATATAGCGAATATTATCCTATGATTTATACTCCTTTTAAACTGTTGTTTATAGGATTGAGAGCCTATATCGATAAAATGGAAGAAAGTAAGTCTGTCCAATTTCCTCTATGTCACAGCCGGAACCATACAAATTCCATTATGGGTAAATTTTGTTTGATAAAGTCTCACAGCGCTATACAGTAATGTTTACTGATGACGTTTCGAGCACAATTTATTGCTCATAATCATATCAAGGTAATCACACGACTTCCTAAATTCATTTATATAGTTCCATTGTTTTTCTCTTGATTTTCACTTGATTTGATTGGCAGTAGTATTTTCCATATTTCAGGTATAAAAGATGACTCATTCCTATCGCATGTGTTGGGTGTAGACTCGATGAACAAGGATTCAGTAATCAACCTCTCTCTCCACCTACCTAGATTACTTTTTAGAATTTTAACCCTCTCCCACCCTATTGTGCGGTTGTGTGTTAGCGCATGCATTGCAATTGCTGAGCTTTTTTCTAAATTGCTTATCTTCTCGGGGTCAACCATTCTTACCTTAGCTAAATTTTTATGCTCTGACAATCTGACTACCCCTGACCTACTAGTTTGACCTATGTAGTTGACCTTACTCACAGTCATTGCATGGTATTTTGTAAATAATATTATTTTGTCTAATTGGGTCAACTGAATCCTTGTTCATCGAGTCTACACCCAACACATGCGATAGGAATGAGTCATCTTTTATACCTGAAATATGGAAAATACTACTGCCAATCAAATCAAGTGAAAATCAAGAGAAAAACAATGGAACTATATAAATGAATTTAGGAAGTCGTGTGATTACCTTGATATGATTATGAGCAATAAATTGTGCTCGAAACGTCATCAGTAAACATTACTGTATAGCGCTGTGAGACTTTATCAAACAAAATTTACCCATAATGGAATTACACTCTACCACAGTGCACAAGTTTTATTCTTATATCAAGGAACCATACAAAAGCTTGCCGATTATAATGAAGGTTTCCATCAAGGATTTTGTTAAGGCGTGCTGCCGCCTAATGGTTTTTTCAGTTTATGATCAGTCCATTTTCATTTTCTTTATGCTGATTTGTTTACTGATCGCCTAGTTGCCAGAATTTCTTCTAGCTGAATCTTTTTTCTACTGGTTAAACGATGCTTAGTTTGAAGCAAAGTGGTTAATTGTTGATACACGTCTGCAGTATCCTGTTGGAATTGATTTTTGTGACGTGTGATGTCAGCATTAGTATTTAAGGTCGAGATCTTATTCTTCAGGTCAAATAAAGTGTTGATTATCAAGCTGGTTTTAGATGAGTGAAGGTCATTCCAGTTTATCCGATCACTTTTTTACCACACACTTATGGGTACTTCAGGTGGTCGAAGTATTGTTGTCTGTCAAGACATGTGAAAGAGGTGACTTCCTTCAGACATTCCTAGTTGACAGTGATTGAAATACTGGTTCGTTAGTTTACTAGTCAGCTCTGATTCCTGGAAGAGAGTAGCATTCAGGCGTGGGGCTAGTGACTGTACATCAGAAAGGCAATCCAATTAGCGCAGAAGTGTCTTAAAACAGAAATTGCCAATGCAATAATAAGAATGACAAATATCTCCTCATAACAGCTAACTGATGCACTCATGAATTCCATGTCAGTGACATCATAGAAAATAGTTTTTTGTATTAAAAATTCTTGCCTGTAAGTACACACTTTGGCTACATTTGACTGGTGAAGAACTGACTTTCCTACAAATTGAAGCAGTTTGTAGTCACTTCAAAGGATATTTAAAATGCCATTTCAACCGATTATTTTTGATATTTCACTGCAACGAATCACAAAGAGACTCCATAAATCTATCAAGCAAGTATAGGGGAGAAGTATTTCATGTGGTTGGCAAGATTCTACACAACCCTCTCCTGGCTCATTTATACGTCTGTAAAAGAAACATGACATTTACAGATCTACTAAAGGCATGTTGTGCGATAAGAAAAACGGTCGCTTTTGATTGCATGCTCTGACAATCGCTTTTGTAAGAGACTGGTCCAAAAAAAGAAATAGTTAGCTTGACAGAACAAACTTTGTAGTTTGCTTTCATTTTAATGTTGGTATTAATGCATATATTATCAAGCACTGAGAGATTTACTGTTTGCTTTAACTAAGGAAAGAGAAAATATGAAGTGAAACGTAGATTAGGTAAGGCTTTTTCATGTTACACATTATAAAACATTTACAACTAATTGTAATGTAGGAAGCCAGGTCGATGTAGGACTTCATAGATGAGTGTTTTTGTCAGATTATTTCATAATACGTGAATGCTGGTAAATAACAAAAGGAATACGAGAGTATTTATTGAGAATATCAGACAATCACTGGTGTCTTCGATAAATTATGCCAGTAGCCTAGTTTCATGGACTATCCAACTGTGCTTCAAATGATGTTGATATGTTTATATCAGATTGATTGGTGAACAGTAACAGATCAATCAAGTAACCTGACTGATTGTCTGTATAGTGGCAATTTAACAGTTTTCCTCATAATGACATTTATATTAGTGGCAGCTATCAGCATCCATCTTTTCTCTCTTAAATCATCTTCATCACTGTTTCAGCCTACAGTCATTCACTCATCTCTCTTCAGACAAATATTAATATCCATAAGTGTGTATGTGAAAAGACAGTTCAGAATGCTTTGTACTCATGCACTTGATGATGCAGATAATTAGTGGGTGCTCTTAAATTATTTGTGCAAAACCTAATGTATTCTCATCGCGGTTTACTTAAAATCCTCACTTAGGTGAATTTCTGTCCAAGAAAATGTACCTACTTTTCTACGTTTCATGTTGTTTTAATCAGTCAATTGTGTCATTGTATCACAACTTAGAATCTAGAGAATTTTCAAATGATGGTTATGAATTTCAAGTTAGGAATGATATAATTGATATAACTGAGTTTAGATAAAGCAATAAGAAGACGTAATTTGTCTGAATCGTGTAATGTATTTGCGCAACACATTTCGAACAATCTGATCACACGGACTTGTCATAGGAATATATTTATAAAAAATTAATAAAGAGGTGAGAAAAATAGACTTAGGTCAAGTTAAAAGGACATATTCAAGGTCAAAAAATAAAAATGAAGACCACTAAACCAAATAGCAGAGGTAATAGTACATCTGCTATGGTATCAAAACAAAATTTACCAAGGAAGGTTTAATGTGATGAAAAATTGTTTTGAACGCATAAAGGTGGCTTGAACTTTCTAATTGCTAGGGCTTCTACAAACTTTAGGATACGCCCCAAACACGTTTTATAGATAGGTTTAAAAGATCTGTCAACATCAATTTTATGACCTGTCTCTATAATATGTTTCGCAATAGAAGAGCTAGGTCTCCTGTTCTCACCGTTAATAGGTTCTGATGATTCCATTTGTTTCTGGAGCCATTTTGGAATATGCTCTGAAGCCCTTACTTGCAGAGATCGATGAGTCCTCTGAGTTTCGTTACAGTCAGAACGACTTTGCAACATAAGGGAATACTTTTGGAAGACGATTTACATTTCCGCAAGAAACTCTCACTGATAATTCTGTATAGCGCGTAAAGAATTTCATAGAATAAAGCTATTATTTAATATTTAGCTAATGGGTTCCCGAAGGACTGATTTCTGCACAATGATTGTCTACACCAAGTTCTTCAGTTGAATATCCATGGAAATCAAAGAATTTTAATTATTAACATTGCCAATCAATGTTTTGACAAAAAAACATCGAATCAATAATATCAATAGATCACAGCTCAGTCGCACATGTAGGTATGATAACATGCACCAACATAATCATACACTGAATATCAGATGAAGTAGAGAGGAATAATTGTACGGAAATCATAAAATTGTAGGCTCCATTGAAGGCCAGAGTAGTAGTAGTAGCTTGAATTATTTCTGCTGCACGCAGAGCACCGGTTGTTTAAAGCGAATCGCAAAAGCCCTGTTGTTTTGAGTTTCCGGCACCTGCATGCTTTTGAAAATGTATTTGATACCTGATAGACGATTGATAAGGATTCTTCAGTGCTAGCGTGCTTTGTGGCCGGTTTTGATCAGGTGGCTCAATATCGAAGTGGTGATGGATTCTACTGCACTTAGCCGTGATCTTAGGTGTTCCCAAGTGAGGACCAAAATTCTAGTTCCTGAAGCAGAGGCCAATATAACTGGCTTCACTATGGCATTAGGAATGGTAGATACAAATAGAGTTAGATAGTTTGGGCACTTCATCTTCATCACCTTATGTGTAGGAAACATGTCTTGCAGTCCAATAGCATTTAAAAATCTATAAATAGATTTCCTTAACTTGTTAGTATATATTTCACCCGATACGTCGCTCTTTCATTGTAGTCTTATATATACAAAGGCCTCTTACCTACAGACAGACAGTAGTTCTTTTCTCCCTTCTTGATCATGTGTTTTTGTTAACTAAGGTGTCATGCACAATGCTAATTTCATCTTCAGTGACGTCTTCTGAGCAAATCGCTCAGCCTCTTCAACTGAGTGTCCTTATTGAATTTCTTTTATACTGGGGAGGAACAAAGCTATGCAATTGCTTATGAACAATTTTGATCAATCATGGAGTTCATTGGGATTTCCACTATTTTGATTTCAATCATCAGATTTCATCACAAACCAGAATAAGTTACGTCAAGCAGGGATAGGACTCAATGGCTCATAGTGTGATTGCCACTCAAGCACTGACGTCTTCCGGACAAAACACTAAGTTGTCTGGAAACACCTTAGAATCCTTAAGCTCATACGACAATTAGATACCGTGTCGACCCCTACATCCCAAGATCCAACACATAGTTTATGCTCATCGATCTGTCACAACACCAGACCCGATAGGCCTAGTTTAACAAATCTTCCAATCAAGACGTCAAAAGGAATACGTAAGCTTGTCCAGCCACATGACGGATAGGGGATATACCCTTGCAAGTATGGTCGTGATTACAGACTTAGAGGCGATCAGACTTAGTCCATCAGATGGTCGCTTAGCATCATCGGTCTGTCAACTGAGCACGTATAGCGATTGTCTGAACATGCGGTCCCTGTCATACTAAACAGAATAACAACAGGAAGGATCAAATTGTACTTCACTGATTACTGTTCTCATTAGTAGTGTAAAACTTACCAACTCACGCTCTTTATTAGTCAGTGAACTACCATTCATAATGAAAGAACGAGCCGAATTGTCGAAAGATCGAAAAGCAGTGTCTTTTTGAATGATAGGCCATCACAAGCCATGAATACTTGTGGTGACTTTTCTGACACCTCTTGCTTGAGACTTTTGGTATAAGATTCAGAAGAACCCATAGATCACACCCTTTCAGCTACACAGAGTTTCTGTCCTGACTGGCGCGGCCATGTTACATTCGTGTTATCATTTGTGGGATGAATCTCCTAGTCAAACATCCCGCCTGTCATGGCCTATACAACGGGTGGTACACCATACTAAGAATTAGACACCTCAATTTGCACCACCATTTATCTGACATAACCATGACACTGACACACAGAGTGTCAGACGACTTTTGCCAGTGTATGCTTCATATCAGAATACAGGTTGACAGCTCACCTAAACCTGAGATCACCGAAAACCTCTATCAATATGTTGCGTATAATTTCCCTTATTCAGTTTATTTGAATCTGTTAAAGAGTGACCTCTAGTAGTATCGTTTACTCTGCCAAGTATTTGAAGAATTAGGATCTGCTTATTCGCAAGTTTGCACTAAAATTTGAAAGAAAGCATTATACTCCATAGCAGCTTACTCAATTCAATGAGATGACTGTATCCTTGGCTCAAAACTATACTCCTGAACTTTATATAATTTGCATTCAACCAAATGTCATGTATTTGTTGAAGGAGAAAAAGAAGAGATATCGTAAAGAATCGGTTTGTGTTTCAGATCAGATAGAACCCCGTCACATAACATGCTGTTCATCAGTCTTCAATTTAAGGAAACTAGACAAAGAGAAAATGCCATGCCATAAATTTCGCCAAAAATTCTGAACATTACATAATATTTCTTTCGTTTAAAATAGAGCTTTTTTATATAAAAATACCAGGGACGACTGGACAGCCATTTCTTTCTGTTCATTGGTGCGCGGACGTAATATCTCTAGGGATCAAATCTGGAAACTTCACATCACAAAAGCAAGGTCTTTGATCTTTCAGTACTGTCTCTCTCTTACTGATGTTGGTTCGTGACGAAAGCTACCAGTTATATTTGCATATCATTTCTATTGAGAAGTATCTACACTGTCTGCAGATGTTATAGTTGTATATATGTGTTTAATTCGTATGCTCCAATTCTTACATTTTCAGAAAGGGCTAGAAAGAATTCGAATAGGACAACTGTAAGTGAATCATTGGTAGAACCTAATTTATTCTTCTAAATCGCAACGGAGTATTTTAAACGTACAGAGAAGGCTAAACCGTTTCATTTGAAAACATATATTTAAGATTACAGTTTGTAGAATTTCATTATGAAGGATATCTTCGTTTGGACATGACATAAATGATTTATCTCTTGGATGCATTCATCACACACACATCAGTTCAATGAACCTGTATTCACTTTGTTCAGAGCCTTCAAATAAGACAGAGAAAGGAATGTATAACGATGGTTAAAATGTAACGAAGCTTTTCATTGAATTATTGTGTGCCGTGAAAGTTGGAATTCATTGTCAAGATTAGTTTAGTCGATAGTGAGATTCTTAGGTAATCATTCAGGTTGTCTAAATGTTTACGAACTGCGAAGTATTAAACTCTGAGCGCTGGCTATTCTGTCCTAATCACACGTCAACAATAATGATAACACCACTGACATGCAAACAGAAATGAAGGACTGGATGTCTATAAGAGGACGTTTAAGGTCTCAAATAACATTCAGAATGCTGGACAGAATCTCTGTTAATGTACAATTAGATTGATCTTGAAAATGCAGTGACTCACTGATTCATAAAACACATAAACAGCCAATGGGAATCCAGCAGTCCAAACATAGAGGAAAACAAAATGTCCATATCAGTGCGTAATAACTGCCTAAATATTTATTTTAAGGTTTTTGACAAAATTAGACAAAACTAGTTGTATGTAACAGGAACCATCATGGAAAACTATGAGTTTATCATCCAAAGGTGACATCGAAGAGTTCGTGTGAGGGGAAGATAAATGCTTATGGGTAAATGCGGAGTTAGCTTGGTGGGACTGCAGAAAACAGGATGAAATAATAATGTCACGCTGGAACCATGTTTTTCACTCCTTCTCACTATTTATTAGAATTTTCCATTATACCGGGATAGGCGTTGCGTTATATCGATTAAAAGTTTCAGGTGTTAGTTCTATTCTGTGATCAGATTAAGAACGAAAACTGGCTTGTTGTTTTCAGGGAACCGATCCATGCGTTCCACTGTACAGTTAATGAAAACATCCGTGAGGCACTTTCAGTCATAAAACGCTCTTAAGACAGCAAACTGACAACTATTCGTCTGAAGATCTCTGTGTTTCTACGGATAGTTTAGTGTGGTTCTATCCAACAACCATTGTATCAACAAACTCAAAACCACCTCAACATTACTGTTAAGCCACTATATAGACAAGCTGTTTTTCGAAGTACGTAACAAATACTGTAGAACAAAATTAGTCAACCCTAATTCGGCTTTAGGAATACCAACAGAATCATGTAGAATATTCCAAACAAGGTGGGATGAAAACTCTTTCAAAAGCAATCACACACTAACATCATCCCCAAGTAATCCAATGTCAGCATGAGCCTTATTCACACAAAATGTTGAATGTTGAGTCACACAACCACAAATAGAAGCATTAAATTAGAGAATAAATAGTAACAAAGACAAATAATGGGTATCAAGTCAACATATGATGTGCAAAGTTCCTAACAATGATATACAATCTAGGATAACAATGAATAATAGCTGCAAAGTTAGGTGAAACGTAGAAATAAGCCTGTCTTTTCACCACACAATTTCACATTTTATTACTCAGACTTTATATCTCACCCAACTAAGGGATCACTGCAAGTGAATGTATTGCAGTGGCTGACCTTCCATCCAGATCATTTCAATTATCACGGTCAATCATTCTAGGCCTTATTCAATCCTCATGTTCTCATAGTCTGGTTTATCTTGATCTACTAGTTTAACCCAAATAGTCGGCCCGACAGTAACTGGTTGTTAAGAAAATGGAGAAAATTTGTAGCTTAGGTGGATGATTTTGTCTTAGTTCTGCCCTTCGAGATGATTGATGTAATTGCGCAGCTTTTGTAGTTCTTCTGGACAACATCATGGGCACATGCTTTTGTATCAAATGAACTTATTTAAGCTTTTTCCAACTAGTGACATTTCAAATTTCGGCAAATGGGGATCAATCCATACTCAAACCTGAGCTGAGGATGTTCTCTAGAAGGATGATGAACTTTCAGCAATTAAATCAACCATATCAGATGGTCTCTCCTTTAGGATACCGGCCAGAATATCGCCTCTGAACACCACATTCATTTAAACCATCTTCATCTTGTCATTGAGATAGGGTGGTCTTTTCTGGCTTTAGGCTTCGTGTGTTTATCTGTTAACCATGAAATAGGGTTCTCCTTAAAAGACTGATTTCTTCTAGCGATACCAGGTTTTAGATTCTCCAGCTTTCAATCTCATGAGTTGCGGGATCTCTTTCAGAGACGTTCAACTACTGAAAAAGGCTGACTATACATTGCGTTGCCCGTCCACGTAGCCTAATGGATAAAAATTCCAAATTCTAAGTAGAACATTGAGGGTTCCATTCCCGCCGTTATTGATGGGAACTGAACAATGTTGTATAATGAAAGCAACTGGACTGACTACTCGTAAATCGCAAGCGGAACTTAAAATTATCTCTGCTGGGACTAGAATCCAAGGCGTCTGAAGCCCTGAATGATTCGAAAAAGAAATAATTCTTTTGAAGGACATAATACTCGAGAATGGCTATCTCTCGTGCTTTACAGATAAACGCGTCAAACTCAAAGCCAGAAAAAGAATCTATCACCACTCTGACAAGATGAAGACCCTATAACGTGTATGTAGCGTTAGCAGGCGATCTTCTCTCGGACATCTTAAAGAAGAGAATATTTTATAAAGTGAGTATTTCAGAAAATGTTGGACAGATATTACCTAATTTCAAACATTCTTATGTTTTTCACTTCATTTTAGAGGGGCGCAGAATAATTCATCTTGGTGGAAAATGAATATTAGTGGCACACTTGCAGACGGAATTCGTGACATTCATTATTTTGTACTTTTTCACAAAAATGTTATCTTCCTATGTTTAGGAACATTTTAACACAACATTTAGTAACTTTCTCTCTTGTGATATTAAACAATGTGAATTCTTTTTTGAAATAAATTTACTGCACTTTAAATGACTAAAAAGATTTGATTAATATATTAAAAGTTCCTTTACTTATCATCAGTGATATTGTGCAAGAGAATGCGCGTGACTTATACTTCATGGATAATACAATGACTGAAAACTCGTCAGCCGTTCTGAACATCCATACATGGTTCCTGGCTAAAGAACTCATAAACTTGGAGAGCTGAATAAGAGTTGCTGGTGCCATAAAGAAGAATACTTCAGGTAGACTTTAGCTACTCCAACCCATGAGATTGACTGCACGTCTGATTGAAAAGTGAACTTAAATCGAATCCCGGTGGGTGCGTACCGCCGAAGAGTCCCAAACTAGGATGAAACAGCTGTCCAGTACTCCCAGGTTTTCCAGTGGCTCTCTAACTAATGTCAGTTCATGATGAAATCCTGAAACCAATTAAATCCCTACAAGCCAACACTTAAATCGTTTCTGTTACTAGACTACTTCTAGGAAATTATAAGACAAACAGATATCATACTAACTCTGCTCAACGAATTTATTATCAAATTACACAGTCGTGTATATATATATATATATATATATATGATTCGCGAGAAGCAACATCGTTTTAGGAAATTTAAACAAAAAGTGTCAATACTCAAAATACTACTGTGAAATGTGATTAAATATTATTGGTTATAATTATAGTTCAGTATCACCGTGTATATCCTGAGAAGGGATGGAAACGTTTTAGTAACAATAGGATTAGTAAATAAATAAAGCATTACATAACATGCTGAGTGATTAAATAACGCACATTACAAAAATGGATTCATTTAATATGGTAATTATTCAATATACATTATTATTACTGTTCTCCTGGCTTCCGACTGGAAAAAAAAGGGCTTCAGCAGCTCATCTGCACTTTGTGCTATTCTATGTGGTTCTCTACATCTGGAACCATGACTGCCAAGAGTCTCTGATCTTCTCCTCGCAAGGCCTCCCACATACCACCCTAGAACAACTGAATCATCATTTGCCATTCGGTCTCTACTCAAATGATGGCCTCACGTGCGATATCATTTGATGGCCTTCTCAGCGTTTGCTCAGTTCATTGCCATCCTTGTTGAGTAATAGGTTTTTGATAGGTTTTTTCCCATAGTATTTTGTTGCTAATTCTTTCTGGCCAACCATTCGACGTTCATTATGAAGCCAGTGAAGGCAGCTGTTGATAAACGCCACTGGTGGTCTGTTGAAAATTGTTTTCGTGGTACGTCAAGTTTCTGAACCGCATAAAATAACTGACTGACTTCACATTTGTGTTGAAAATCTACATCTCATTGTTTAGGCTGAGTGCAGAAGATTTCCAAACTGGTTGCAGGTCGATGAAGGCGTATCTTGCCTTTTTGATGCTGGCTGGTTTTGACATCCTGATTAGTTCCAACTGTCTGTGGTTGAAACCATACCCGCTGCCTAGATAAGTGGAGGAAGTGATCTGTCTCTCTGGTTGATGGTAGCTGCTGCTGGTTGCTGCTGGTTAGATCTCTTGATCACCTCCATCCTTTTTCTGTTAGCCTGGAGGTTTGTCTGTGCTGCCTCCTTGCTCGACCCGTTTTCTAGTTTCTGCCTTCAAGTCTTCGAATTTTTGTGACATTGGACATAAATCGCCTGAAAAATTCAGATCTGTTAGTCTTAGTATCTGCTCAGCGTATTCCTGTCTTCTCGCTACCCACCTGCAGTCTGATGCACAATCTACTACACCAAAATTAAGCATACCATTGGTGATAATAAGCAGTCTTGTCTAACCCCTGTGTACACTTCGAACGCCTAGCTGAGTCACTCGTTGTGGATCACATGACACGTGGTTTATCATGTAGCCAGCACTTGAATGAGGTTGAGAAAGATTTGGGCACTGCACGTCGTGGTATTGAAGTAGTTTTCAAATTACTTCTCAGTAAACGCTATCGAAATCTTTTTCAAAATCGATGAAGTCGACTTAGAGATTTGGCTGCCATTCTATGCTTTGCTCTGTGATGACGATGCGTACAGTTAAATTTGATCAGTGCATTATTTGTCTTTCCCGAATTCAGCTTTTCTCGGACTGAAGGGGTTCTTCATACGGTGCAACTTTTTTATCTCCAGCGACGTAGTATTTTTCTTTGACGTGAGCAAGGGCGTTATTCTAAGCCAGTTCTTGCACAGGCCTAAGTCTCTCTATTCTGGTATTTGGACAATGTAGTTTTCTTCCAATCCATGTACACTTGTCCTTCCTCCTGAGATTTTTGCAATAATGAAGTCAGCATATGCGCTGCTGTCTCTGGGTCCGTTTTAAGTACTTCAGGGGTAGTTGCGTCTGGTCCTGCTGTCTTCCTTCGCTTACTGTAGCTTTATTACGTTCAGAACTTCTGCTTTTATTGAAGTACTGCTGTCCACTGATTGTTCTGTGAGTGCCGTTGTCAGTATTACCTGATGTCATTGTACATTCAAATATCTTTATGTCTCATCTGTCGTAATTAGGTTCCCTCGTTCATCTTCCATAGATTTAATCGGCTTAGAATTTCGCCCGTATAGGGTCCTGGTTATCCCATATAGGTCTCTTTAACCTGCGACATTCCTGTTCTGCTTCAGTTGCAGAAAAGTGTGTCGTAGAAATGTGTTTTCTTTCTCCTACCACCTTTCACTACTTCTCTTTCCAGTGCAGTGTCATTGAACTTAGTTTATCCTTCTGTTGCCTCTCTTTACATTGGCTCATATTTCGTTCATCATATCCCTGCCTTCTGTTGGTCTACAAATGTCCGTTGAGAGCCATCCCTTGTCTTGTCTCTTTTTTCTTCCTACAACAGTTGTACACGTCTCATTCAGAGTTCCAATGTTCTTCCACCTAGTTTTCTTCGGCAATATCATGTAGTTTTTTGTGGGTTTTCGACTTGTGTTTGAAGCTTGTTCGAAATAGATGATACTCTGAGCCCACATCTGCCCCCTTCTAGACTTTACTTCCAGCTGGTTACGTCTTGGAGTACTCAGGATTGGGATGAAGTCTATCTGGTTTCTGGTACTTGTTTGGGCCTAAATTCTTGTTTTCCTGTATTTGTCCTTGTGTGTGTACACGCAGTCTCCAATCAGCAAATCACTGATGCGCTGAATTAAGCGTCACGTTCTCTAACGTCATTCATTTCTCCGAGAGCATCACGACCCGTGTTGAGTTCTCTTCCTGCTCCTAGTTTAGCATTCACATCTTCCATTTAGTTTTCGATGTCGCTATTTGGCATGTTATCGATCACTGTCTGCGGATGTCTTCAGAAATCTTCCTTGTGCACTTTTTTCTTAGTTGTTTCTGGGTGAGTAGCATTGGATAACTGCAACCTTTGTTCCTTCCTTTTGAGGTGAATCTTGCTCTCATTAGCCTTCGGGAGGAAACTGGCTCCAACTGATTTACAACTTCATCTGATATCGGCAACCTCATGATTGACACTACCACAGTGTGCTTGTGGTTGTCATCTGAATGATCGGGGTACATGACTGACTCCTGGTTGATAATTCTGATAGTCCACATGGATCCGATCTGCTCTCGCAGATACTCAGCACTTCTATGACATACCTTCACATTTCACTGGCTACCTGTGCAGCCTTCTCAGTCTCGTGCACTGTACCAACAGCTCACATCTCTATCCTCATCCCTGCTTTCGTGAGAGGAAACACATCGGCTGGCTGACTGACTTCATGAAGGCGTTCCCCAGCCCACGTAATTTCATCTTTCCGATTCCAGTGACGAATAAGACTGCTTTTTATCCTTTTTGCATATGTAATATTTTTCTTGTGCGTTAAACCTTCTGCGGCAGTTTGACTGGTATTGTACGATCGTTAGCCGCATGTTCAATCCTCCTCTCTTTCTCGGTCGTAGGATGCACTATGAAACTAGCGAGTCAGCCAGCTATAGAGATTTCGGAATCAATCATATTGCCATCATTTGTCAGGGAACACATTTCAAAACGCACGCCTCAAGTGCTTTATGTGTTTCAATTAATTTCTGCTTCCCTTGGACCTCTCGGCTCTTGTTGAAATTATCATCTTCCAGTTGGGAGGACTCAACAAAATCTGAATATTAACATCATGTTTCAGAGTGGAGAGTGATATGGATCGGAATACAGGATGCGCACACATATTTTGTCCAATGTGGATGCTATTTTGAATAAATCAGGCTTAACTTTGAAGATGTTTCGCTTATTGGGTGATAACTAAATTTATTCTTCCTATAAGCCATGATACCAAAGACTCTAACTGAGAACCCTATATCCTGGAGTCAGTTAGTTTTAGAATATTTCGTCGACGAGAAGCTGCGATTTTCTAGATGTAACAGTAACACTTTTATGATAACATTGTCAAATTTCATCAAGTCGCCGAAAATCTGGTTGTTCTTCGACTACAGTACGGAATGTTCTTATGAAATGTCTCATATTCAGCATGCTTTCCTAAGAAATATCTTTGTTTAATGATATCCAACTGCAGAAAGCAAGATGAGCACATCAGTCGTTCAACACAGGGCTACTGACTCACTATATGAAATTCTTGTGTTACTATTGTGGCTAGCTTTCATGTTGGTTTGGCTCCAGTTTTTCAAAACTTTTTCAAACTTCGAGGTTTCCACAAATTACGAATGAAGATGCGCGGTTTGAAGATCTCACCTATATAGAAAAACAGTGTCAAGGTGGGTTATTGAGTAATGAACTAATATTGTCAGCTTATACGTTAGCCTACCAAGTTAAATTCACTCTGAATGCCTTCAAGAGACAATATACTTCCATTACAGTTTCATTGAGGGTAATGAAAAATGTGTCTCATGTGTGCATTTGATTACTTTGT